CTGTTCTTCTTGTACTCATTTAATGCACGTTACAATTACATACCGATAATAGAAGATTTACCCACATATAAAAACTCCGTAAGAAGACGACAATGCCTTTATCTTACGTTTGAGTAACCTATGTGACACTTGTGCTTGTTTCTTGAAAAGTGACGCGAACCTTTGACACTTGAACTTGTATGTCTTTGTTTAAAGTACACAATATCCTACCTGCCACGTGACTGTTGTATATATATATTTATATATATTTGTTCAACGTGACATAACTGCCTATATGGCATTTGTGTAGGTTTAGTTTTAGCAACAAAACTATCTATTCAACTCTTTGGTATTATGCTTTAGTTTAATGTAGCGAAAGTCCCTATACTAAGAGGGATATCTTTTAATAATCAGATAGAAAATCTATTTATACATATTTTTCGCTCTAGACTGAAGCCTGTCTCTCATGGAATGACATAAGAACGACACCTTAAATGCTATTTTAAAGCATTTATAACATAACCACATATTACAAATTATGTAAAAAAAAACACATATAAACATATAAAAGGTACTTTACTACGTAATAAATATATTTCTTTGTCAACAAAGTGTTTATTTGAGATTTAATTGATTAAAAATGCGTGTACTGTATACTGGATACAGGTGTCTATAAATATGTACAACTGACTGGAGTGTATTTCAACACGTTTTCAGAGAACTGGACAATATACTCAACAAAAAGAGAAAAGTTAACATGTTTCCTTGGCGAATACCTGTAAATGAGTGAAATCAAAATGACGTTTGTGCAATATTAGAAAATGGTAATGTTTTACATTACAAAATACCTAAATCATTCAAGCGTGAAAGTCTGTATTAGCGAAAGAGCTTTACGAGGTTTTCTGCGACTAACTTGTATCTTCGCTTGAATTTCATAAACTTTCAAACTGACAACTGTTCCTTAGATCCTTAGGACTGAGAAATCACCGAATCTTGTTATCTATCAACTTTATCATTATGCCCCGGCTGTCAGAAGTACAGAGAGAAAGGCCTGTAGGCATGATCCAGGCTGGGGAGTCTCGCCGTCGAGTTGCACGGCATTTTGGTTGCAGTGTTAAGACAATTTACCAGTTGGTAAGTCGTTTAAACCAAACTGGGTCAACATCCGATCGTCCCCGAAGCGGCCGACCCCGTAAAACGACCGCCAGGGATGACCGTCGTATACGATTGATACACTTGCGCAATCGATTCGTAACCGCAGTAGAGACTACAAGCACATTGTTTAGGCGTCGTGTGTCTCCCCAAGCAGTCCGCAACAGGTTGAGGGCCTACCAATTGAAAGCGCGGCGTCCCTACACTGGACCCAATTTGTTGCGACGTCACCGTAATAATCGGCGTAAGTGGACCCGTATTCACCATCGTTGGGCCTTACGACAATAGAAACAGATGTGTCCAGGTTTTGTCTGCAACACGGTGACGGAAGGCGCAGAGTGTGGAGGCGACGAGGGGAGCGTTTTGCGAACTGCTGCGTCGCAGAACGGGACCGCTTTGGCGGCGGAAGTGTAATGGTTCGGGGTGGTATTTGTGGGGGGGACTCGTACCAAGCTTGTTGTGTTAAATAGCAATTTAACCGGCATTCGATATCGGGACGAAATTTCAAGACCAGTGGTTCTGCCATTCCTAAGACGCCATGGCTTTGGCGCCATTTTCAACAGGATAACGCGCCAGCGCACACCAGTCGCGTCAGCAGAACTTTCTTGCAGCAGAATAACGTACAGGTGTTTGATTGGCCATCTAAATCACATGATTTGTCACCGATTGAGCATGTCTGGGACGTTCTTGGGCGACGCGTGAGAGAACGTCAAAATCATCCGTCAAACTTGCAGGAGCTGGCCCAAGCCTTGATCGCTGATTGGAACAACATCTCTCCTCGAATTATCCGCCGGTTTACGAGTTCCATGCGACGACGCTGCAATGCTGTTTACTTCGCAAACGGTGGCCATACCAGTTACTAATGGTGTTACCTTTGAAATTGACCCCAACGTCCTTTATAGTCGAATAAAATCAACTGAAAGCAAAGTTTTATAATGAACCATGACTGCAGTTTTATCAGAATTGATCAATTACTTTATTCGTACATGATTGGTAAGGATTTATGAAGGGGTTAATTTATTAATCACAGAATAAAGTAGTGTTACCTTACTTTTTTTGAATAGTATATATTCATATTTTTTATTTTCAATTTTTTCAATTATGAATAATACATACAAGAATAACAACTTTAGATGAAAATCAAAGACGCTATCAATAGATAATCTGAAACTCGCATCGAATCCTTGTTTGCTGGTTCTCACATTGAAAATTGCCAAATCACCGTAAATATCACCACAAATGTTCCACCACCCAAACGTCGTCGAATCATGGTGAGAGCGACAGCGACTCGGAATCGGAGATCGTATGACGTCACGCCTTGAATTTATAAATGGAATTCCTTTGACTATGGTGACGTCATGTCAGCGTCACAGTATTTTGAAAAAATGTTAAAACAGTAAAAAGATACATTGATATATTTCTTAAAATGATCAGATATGTTATTTTGATGATAAAACTATATGATGAATTATAAAAATCCGTTCCTTGTTGATTTCTTTGAAGTATTTGACGGAACAATTTCTTTTCGCGGCTGTTTACTTACACATACTTTATAATCACACAGAGATCATTTTTGTTTTTTTCTCATCTGCGAATAATATATTCATCCTGCAATATACCGAAAATGGTTTGAAATTTGACAGCAAACTGAAAGTTTGCAAAATATGGGTATGATCGTTAAGAATATCCAGTTCGTTTTTTATAAAAACCTCTGATTTAAAAAATGAAAACAAAATGAAGATAATGGCCTACCGACTGTCCTTTTCCCAAACTTTTGGTAAATATATGAGAGAAAAAGACTCTTTCATTATGTGTGTATGTAGGATAGGGATATTCCACCCTCGGGGTTACAAAATATGGTGAGAGCCTCGGGTTTCACCTCGGGTGGAATATCCCTATCCTACATACACGCATATGAAAGAGTCTTATAATAATCAGTGAATAGTAGAGCTGAAAAAGACACCCCTGCTTAACTTCTTAAATACGTGGCTCACAACTTATCAACCAGCCCTCGTATGTTTACCTTAATTTCAGTTTTGCAGATTAACCGTCAAATATATAGCTCTATTTCCCTGTGGAAAACCAGTGTGAATGTTACATCTCATTACATTATTTACGATCATATGTATACCTGATTTGATGGGAAAAATATTTATCCTACTTTTATGAGATAACATTTTCTTCACTGAGAGGTAAGCCACATACTGTACCTCTACTCTTCTTTCTAAAGCAAAACACAAAGCATTGGGACGTCTCCAAAATGGATGTTCAGATTACAATGAGAGAAGAGGGTACCTATAGTCGTAAGGTTTTCGAACGGAGGTTTGATAACACCTGAAAGTACCCAAGGAACTGAACGGATATTACCGATAATGTGGAGTGCGTTTTTAGGTAGGGAAAAGGTAAATCTTTCATTAGGTAGACTACTCAGAATGGGATAACGTCATCATTACGTGTAGACCATCTTATACATTACCTTTGATAATCAGGACACTGTATTATTGGCCATCTACCCTGGTCGATTTGTTCTTGTAACCTCCTAATTCTCTGTAGTGATAAAATATTTCATGACTTCATTGGTATCTTTAGTTTTAATAAATATATAAACCTTTAAACCTGTAGGAAAGACACTCTCGAATGTGAATTATTTAGAGTTATATACAGTAGATCAAAACAATAAATTATACAGCTGTTTCGTCCTTCTTCGAACTCATCAGTGAAGCTAAGAGCCTAATCGAAAGTGATCCATGTTTTGTCTTACTCAGGACCACAAAATAAAGGATAAGATTATATTGTGAGCATGAACACATGTTGAATGACCTATGATCTTTTTTTTTTTTTAATCGCTGTTGGCTAATTACAAGATAACTAAATCTGTTCTTTAGTTTCTAGTGCAACGACTGCTTTAGTTGATCCTATATGGTACTATTGTAACGATTGTTACTTTCCGCTTCTCTTGCTCCGTATGACTACGTATAGATCTTTGGGTCTTTCTCCCAGCAGTAAAAGGACAAGTACATACTATTGTTAGGCTAAACAATTTTCTGGTTATCGGTTGCTGCTATCGATGATGTCTTTTTGATTTATAAGGTGAATTTTGATGTGTTTTATTAATTTGACGGGGTCTGAGTTTGTTGGTTTGTTAGGGCCCATGTGTTTGGTAAACGAGTCAAATGGCATGAGGATACACTTATATGTAGTGGCTTTAAATTAATAGCACCTACGATCATTTTGAACTTTTAAAGTGATTTTGGACTGATTTATGTGTAACGTAATGGCCGATCCTGCCATGTGCTCAGACATCGCCCGAAATTTAGCTTTACAATTGTACATACTGATGAGGTTAAAGCTTGTTACACTCAATGAGCCACGCGGATAAATATTTAGGTTCAATTTTACAAAATTCCCTCATAAATTGCCGAACTTAACTTCTGTCTACATTATCCTTCTCATCAGTAACATCTCAATGTGGTTAACGAAACCTGCAAGCAAACACGGCAGACATTTGGACTTGTGTGTCGCCACCACAGTGCAAATGCTGTGTTACAATTGGAACCTCCGACAGGACATCAATTTTCCTGTTTGTTACACTATTAACACAGTCGTTTGAGCTGACTCAGTATTGCCATCGAACAGGACAAACATTATAATGATCTTGTATACTAATGATATCTTATATACAATATAGGCTACAAATCTAGACACATATTAGTGGGTTGTAACATAAGGACCAAGTACTCTCTTACCGCTCGACTTTTCCATATAGTTTACCATATGTTACATACCCCAAGATAGACATAGGATCATCAAAGCAACTGTCAGTCTTTTCACTTCATCGCCAGTTGCAGCAACATTGACTTCGAAACAAAATGTCTTCTAAAGGTATGAATTGAAAACAAATTTATATATATATTTCTGTCATTTCTCGTTAGCCTATTGGGGAGTGATGCAACGGAATAGAGTTACACTTTTGGTTTCAGAATTTTTATTTTTCACACAAACACGTGTATATGGATGTAAAAAATACTATCCTTCTACTATTTGTTTGATATTTTTCAGTACATTCCCTATAAGAATTTTGCATACGAAGGAAAACATTTATTAGAAACAAATGCATAGTTAGTCTACAGATATATTTAAATCGTATAGTTTGGACGGATTAAACGTGACGCGACCAAAAATGATACCAATTTTTCAATGATTAACCATGATATTTCGTTTTCCGCGGATCAAATGTTTTATATTGACGAAGAGTGATCAAAAATTTCTGCTCCGTGCGCTGGTTGGACTTAAAGAAACCATGTGTTAATTAATAGAACGGTAGATATGATATGTCGTCACTCGCGGAATTAAACAAGATACGTGTACCCAAATTGACACCATGCGAGTAAAGGGTATAAAACAGACACCACAACAGCTTATCCTATCGAAAGTAATGATTTTCCAGCACAAATGAGATGTAAGTATATATTTTGAACCACATCATACTGATAACCTCATAATTTTACTGTAAACATTAAAATGAAGATAGGCGCATATTTATGGTTGTACACCGATCGACGATACGCCACATTTTAACGGCATATTAGCATAAATTGACATGATCTGTGTTCTTTGAAAATACACAAAAAAGAAACTTAAAAGCATTTTATAGATATTTGAAAAAGATAATTCTTTTACAATTTTATTTGATATGTTTTAAGGTACGTGGATATCAGTTTGCCAATTTGCTACAACTTCGTCTAGACATTTTATGAAATATTAAAACATATATTTTTTTTCTATATCATTTTTCGCTATTCATTGAAGGAGAAAGGTGTATGCAGACTTAAGAAATATTTTAAAGCTAATAAAAAAACAAATTTAAACAAATCCAAATTGACAGTAATTATCAGGGAATGAAAACATAAGATAAGATAGAAATTCTTTTTACTTCGGTGATAATAAGTTAGATTTTGTAAAATATTTAAATTGTCAGTTTCATGTTTAGGTTAGTAAGCTTCCTAGTGTTTTCCAGTTTGAAAGTAATTTGTGCATTTTCTAGGGCAACATGTTTGATGGTATGCTTGATAGTGAAATCCCTTACCAAAATTAGGTCCAACCAGGTGTAATTTCTTTGTATCATTTTAGTTTTCCGCCAAGAGACTATTTGTTTCATAGCAGGTCAAAAAAAGCTTATTCACTTTCAATGTATTCAACATATGTCAAATATCAGACCTACATGCATAGATACCGTTCATAACCCATGTATCATACTTAATGTTTCTGTTTTTCTCCTTTTTTTTAAACTTTCAATTAATTGACAATGTTAGTAAAAAGTTTATCTCCTGACACAGAAACATAGATATGGTTGCTGCTGAATATAATGTATTTAAAAGTTGTTGTAAATAGATCGATCTGGTCATTATTGATGTATACCTTGTCCTAAAATGACATAAACAGTTATATTATACGTATCAAATTCATAATAATATGTGTATGAAATAATGCAGATATGATATTTCAGACATAGAGGTAGAGTATCTGCCTCCACAGATATTATGGGCCATATTACCTGGTACATGTAGAAGGGAGGATAAGAGGGAGATAATCAGTCGAAATCTTGTATGGGTATTGTTTGTAATATGAAAGAATGCATCTATTAATTTGGTGTAAAGATGAAAGTTAATGACTACATTGTCTTATCAAGATCTCTCTCTCTCTCTCTCTCTCTCTCTCTCTCTCTCTCTCTCTCTCTCTCTCTCTCTCTCTCTGTATCGATATGTTTGGAAAGGTTTTCATATAAGTTAGACATATTTTCCCAAAAAATTCAAGATGGCCACCACATGAAGAGAGATTTAAATGTTTTGCTGAAAATTATGTATGTGGTCTTACATAAGGAACACATCAGTGCAATCAGTTTTGTTTATTTAACAAGGCCGCGAAATAGTTAATAGTTTAAAACTTTATTGTTTCTTATGGTGATTGTCAAGGCTCTCCCACTCTGCCCATGTTGATAATCACTTTATGCATCTCAGGTCTAGCATATGTACATAAGAGGTCAGGTGTCTTGCTATAGTGTAGATAAACTTAGCTGTTGAGTAGAATTATCTCCTACATTAATTTGCGATAGAATGGGCAGTTTGAGGACTTATGTAACAGTCTCCGTTACACTTAGAAATACAATCGGGTAAATGTCGTACAACTGTTCATGTACTAAGTATTTGTAAGATAAATCTGAAGCCCAACAGCAGTAAATGTCTGTATAAATAAAACATAGGGAAATTTCTTCATTCACTAAATAAAAGCAGTTTAGTTTCTTGATTGTCGACCATTTATTTGTCTTTCTCAAATGTATCAAAATGCATCATATGACATGTTATAATACAATAACACAGGTCAATGAAATTTTAACTAATATTTGTTCGGGTTATCTAAAGCCGTAATACACGCAACTTTCAGGGGAAAGAATGGATAGAAAAACAGCGAGCCTTCGAATGACTGCACACCTGCTTTCTACCTGTGATATGACATCACACGCAACAGGTGCGACATCACACATCACAGGGTGCCTTACATTTGTTGTCAACGACGGAATAGATCTTGTATAGATTACATCAGACATATGGTTATGATATATTGATTATATTTTTTCAGATTATTCAAAACGCAATATGCGCAACTGTCAGGGGAAAATGAAAGGAAAATGATCGATTTATATCGATATACTAAAAAGTTACTAACACGAAAATTACTGAAAACGAAAACTCAGTGTCATTATTTATAAAACTTTGTCATTCCATGCTTTACAACTATATTTAAAGGATATCAGCCTTGTTTTTCTTATATCATTAAATGTTAGTGGATGCTTGATATATCAATCCAAAAAATTCCTTTACAAAATTACAAATGAATTTGTTCAACGCTGGTCATATTTTCGTAACATCATATTTCAGATCCACTTTAGCTTTGATAGGAACATATTTGAAGTTTATGCTAGTGTGAAAGAAAAACCGAATTGCAAAACTGACAGTTTCTTAACATTAACATTAACCTCTAGTTTTCCACGTGTTATAATATATTTGAAAGACATCAAGAGCTTTAGCAGATCGTCTGTAGAGTCAGACAGAAGAATGGTATTATTGGCGTACAACATGTCCAAAAGTTCTTCCAAATTATTTAGCTTCGTCTTAATCGCTTCTTAACATAGCACACCATTTTGTCTAAAAATGTCTTCAGTATCATTAAGGAAAGTAGAAAATAAAAACAAAACTAAAACTAATTCAGATTTAGTAGATTTCAAAATTCCTCATATGATTTGATATTATGCTGCTTTTTTATTACTATAAACAACATGTCTTAAAAGTTTACTTTTGTATAAATCTCCATACCGTGACAAAGACTTCCCTGGGTCGACGAATGTTGTATATACATAGTTATTATCAATTAAATATAATGATATACGCCCTGTACGAGAATCTTGCTTGACTATGATAGATTATAGCATGTGCATAGAGTAAATAGCGGGTCTGTAATTCAAAATATCTATAAACTAATTCACGAGAGAGATAACTATTGATACGACTTTGGAATTGTCTGTATCATGAGGATCACCCAAATGTTTTATAGATAGGTATAGTTTACTCTAGAGTTCAATATTACATTAAAAAATTATATATTACTAGTAAGTATTCTGTGTACTTACTAAACATCTTATCGATATCGGACGCCTTGCATGTGTTGAGCTCCTCGGCTATTTATCGAGAGTGATTTCTATATCATTTTAACCATGTCAATTCATTGGTTCTAGGAACATGTAGAAGATTAGATTTTTGGCGACACATTTGCATAAGATAGATCAAGATTATCATCATTATTCATAGCTCTTCTGCATGCCATTGATTTTTAAATAAACGGTTCACACCTCTTGATCCCTGGTCAGGTTTTGACTAATTCATATTATGGTGATACTGTAAAACAGTACGTAGATACATAAACTGATCACGGTCTTAGGCTTATTATTAAACTTCCAATTTTCTTGTTCCTTATTTCGCTTCCTAGGTTTCAAACTTTAAGCCCTTATCATCACTGACGAGTCCTAGAAGGACAAAACATTTGTATGATGCAGATAAATGCATTGTTTGGCTTTACTGTATCTAACTCTTAATTAGCAAAATGCGCCAATCACTTGTGAGTATTTTGTATAATCTTTGTAGCTATAACGAATTGTATAATAAAGTAGAAATGAAGAATCATGTGTGACACCACAGAAATATGTGTGATATAAATGATCCCTACATATACATTCATTGTGTATTTGGTGGAAAGTTATATTTGTCTTAATGTATAACCGAAGGGTTGCTGGAACGTCTTGAAAATGGCTGGCAAATCCTAATAGCGGAAGGATACTTGCTGGAATTGGAGAGAAGAGGTTACCTGCAATCGGGAGGATTTATACCAGAAGTGGTTTTAGAACATCCGGAAATAGTGCGAAGTGTGCATCGCGAATTTGTTCATGCTGGTACCGATGTGGTGCAAGCATTCACAGTAAGTGTATTTCATAAGGCTTTCTTAATCTCTCTGTTGTATACCCCAGAATCAATTCAATATCTTTTTGTTCTTTGTTGAGACAATGTTATGGGTAGTGGTTTCGAAGAAAAGTAAAATTATATATATATATCGAACATGGACGGGTTCTGAAGGATTAACTTGAATATTATGCCTTGTATTTCAGTACTATGGCCATAGAGAGAAATTACGAAGTATTGGCCGAGAAGATGATTTAGAGAGACTCAACAGAACAGCACTTAAGATCGCGCGAGAAGTGGCGAACGAGACTGGGATTTTGATGGCTGGCGGTCTGTGTAACTCCAACATCTATGATCAAGATGATCTCGATTCACATGAAAAAGTGAAAGCAATGTTCAAGGTATAGTTATGAACTATAGTCTAACTGACTAAGAGTGTTTATCAACCGTTTCCCAGGACCAAAATCAGTTTTGTTAAAAGGATAAAAAAATCAGCATTTCATGCTATTGGCATCGTTATGAATAAACGATATTCAAGATTTTGTATCAAGTAAGTAACATGTCAGTCCATTTCGTAACCGAAAACACATTTATGTTGAAATATGTTTCCTCTAAATTGCATTCTCCATTCATAAATAAATGCAACAAAAAAGGCGAGAAAGTGTTTCTACTGTTTGATTCTTGATATTTTGTGATCACTTCAGGAACAGGTGGAGTGGGCGGTTGAAGAGGGGGCTGACTATATCATAGCAGAAACATTGGCTTACTACGGAGAAGCTAAACTAGCTCTAGAGGCTATACAACTGTATGGAAAAGGTAAACACACTGAAAGTTAACTACGGGTTTGATTATCCGTTTTTTAAATAGTTTGTTAAGTTGATTTTCTTTTGGGAATACAAGTAACAGGTAAAATGAGAATTTTCGTTTTTTTTTTTTTATTTTTGAGCCAAAGGTGTTTAGTACGATCATAAGTAGTCGTGAAATTTAGAAGTTTGAGAATGGACGTGACTACGATCCGTAAAGGTTTGAGTGGGAATCTGTAGATATAAGGGCTACAGTAGTACTACCAAAGGTATGGAAACGCTACCTTAAGGATGTAACAGGAACTAAGGTATAATTCAATATAATTGTATTCCAGCATAATATCTTGATTTTGGTTTGTTCTTTTATTATTTCTTATCTATAGTTGTACTTGTAAACTTAAAAAGGACGATTTTATGACGTTTTGAAGAAATTTCACATATGGTCTACTTTTTGCCTGCGTAGTCGGCGGTGTGATTTGATTAAAAGCCTCAACTTTTTCAGATTTGCTAATTTCAATTTGGTGGACCACTTTCCCGGAATTTAGGGCCCTTGTACAGATGTTTCAGCTTGTTTCTTGATCTTGAAAAACTGATTATTTTGGTGAAAATTGCAAAAAATTGAAAGACGGATACATTCTCTTTTTTAAGCATGAAAAGTATCATCGAAAATGTTTCTATCCAAATATAAAGACTTTAAAACCGTTTTATTCTAAAAGATGGTCAAATAAACGATTTAACTCATTTTGGATCATTTTAATTTTTTGGTTGCTATGCAGTTAAAACCTCGTTAAATCAAATGAAAACCTAACATTTTCACACTATTTTTTTCTTAATGTCCATACATTTTACCCTTACCTTGAAATGAATGAAAGTTTATTTCAGAAAAAGGTTAACACGAAAATAACTGAGAATGGCTGTTATCGTGATAATAAATAAGATTGGTGTGTGAGAATGAATTATATCCTGTTATACTTATTTTGACTACTGTACCGGAAGAAATAGTGTGGAAACCTATTGATGTTTTGTTTTTAATCTACTTCCTCAAATCAAACCTTTCAAAAAATCATCATCAGACAAAAAAAGTTTAGGACTTGCTTTTTTCTTGACCTCTAAGAAGACTATGTCGTTAAATTGTTACAGAAAACATGCACCGGTGTTTTTTTGTTTTTCTTTTGTTGTTGTTGTTGTTGTTGTTGTTGTTGTTGTTGTTGTTGTTGTTGTTGTTGTTGTTGTTGTTGTTGTTGTTGTTGTTGTTGTTGTTGTTGTTTTCGAACACATCATAATTAAACGAAATCGGGAAAGAATTTTTCGATTGTCACCAATTCATAACAAGTGTTATTTGTATTTTATGTAAAGGTCTCCCGGCTGTGATCACTTTAACATGCTACGTTCCGAACAAAACGATAGATGGACTGCCGATTGTTGAAGCGTGTCGTAAACTGGAGGAGACGGGAGCGGCCGTAGTGGGTCTTAACTGTGGGCGTGGCCCGAGGACAATGTTACCAACAATAAAAGAAATTAGGAAAGTGTGCAAGGTTAGTTAAATGATGGACATATCTGCACTTTATCATAGTTGATACAATATGAAAAATTAATTATTATACATACGTGTAATGCACTGGGTTGTTTTTCTAGAAAAAACCCAGCTTGGCTGTAATGAACACTGAAGATAGAATATATCGTTTTCCTAATTAAGGAAGTTTATGAAATATTTGTTTGTATCCTTTCAATGCCAGTTGTAAAAATTACCGAGATTGCTTCTCAATACAATGCTACAACGCGACAGAATTTTAGACCAGGATCGTTTGTTCTAACATTAGTCTGCCTGATTATCAGGACAATCCCTGCCTTCTCTCTCGCTTTATCTTACGTGTACAATCAGTAGTATAAACTACATACGGTGGAGGTAGACATTCTACAGACGAGATAGTGTCAGGTTAACAAAATCTCATTTTGAGTGCGAAAATAGAAATAGGTTCGACCAGCAGATTTACAGAGAAGCTAACTTTAAGCCTTCTTTTGTGTCAAAGATTGTATAACTTCTATGTGCTATTGTAAAAATGATAGACATACAGTATGTCCCTTATCTAATGATAAATCAAAGTAAAAACAAGATTAATGCAGAAAAACGACGTTATGATAAGAAAGATATGAAGATGATAAAATGCGGTATGTATACAAAATAGTTTTAAATAAACAAATGTAAATAAAAGGTGTTGTCGCCTATGAAGCACGCGAGTCTGAAGCAGTTGATGATTACTTTCAGATAAAATAGATAAAGAAAATTATTGATTTAAAAAGAGCCTCCAAACTAAATGACGTGTTTTTTAACAGGGACCAATAGCCGCGCTTCCTGTGACATTCAGGACTACCGAAAAATGTCGCACTTTGGTATCGTTAAAGGATCCGGAAACTGGTAAATCAAGATAAGATACGGCATAGAACTTAGTTATTCCTGGGAATACTTAATCAACAACTAAGAAAATAAGCGACAACGGGACCACCTGGTATAACAACAAGCAGCAAGTCCATGTTGATATCGCACGAGGAAATTTTATATTTCTTTAGATAGATAGATAGACAGACAGACAGACAGACAGACAGACAGACAGATAGATAGATAGATAGATAGATAGATAGATAGATAGATAGATAGATAGATAGAGACAAGATAGATAGATATCTTTATTTCCTCCATATATATGAAGATTACAAACATATATAGATCAAGAAAGTACTGAGAAAATAGACACTATATACAAAATATATTGCTATTCAGCCGTTATCATTGTCCTTTAATACATTATATGTGTTTAAGTAGGGATTTAACCATAGCTGCTATGCTGATACTATTCATAATCATGAACTGTTCCCAGATATCATCTTCAACATTAATAAGTTCACGACTGCCCAGTATTACTTTTGCCATACTTGTTTCGTCCAATTCTAAACATCATTACGCTATCATAAAGCTTTGGGAAAGCTGCCCAAAGTGTTTTTGTTGTTGCCGATGTAGAAGTCTATCGTGTCTTTAATTTCCAATTGATGTTAATTTATGCAATGGATATGGTCAATCAATTTCTTTTTCATTAACGACAAATAATCATTGATATGTCTTCAACTGAAACTGAATTGGTAATATCTTTGTGACCTGTTTTGATAAGCTAGACAATCTAGTACGATTTTATAAAGTCCATCATGGCAGCAGCACAGTTTATTCTATAGGCATGCCAATAATCGGTTGGAAGACCAAACTTCGATCATTTTGACGATTTGTGTCCCGTATATTTCTGTATAGATTTGGATTTTTTCATGAAACACGCTACCAGTTGTATGCTTTAGTTTACCTATATATTTGTGGTATTAATGTGATACAGTCGTTTACATCTGTAGATCCTATATATATCTAACATAAATATACAACTTTATTTATAGGAAAAGACGTGTATCCGACAAACTTGCACTGTGTCATGTGTAGTCGGGATGACATCAAAGAATTTGCAGAAGAAGCGAAAGCGATTGGAGTCAGTTACGTAGGACTATGCTGTGGAAATGCCCCGTTCTACTTCCGGGAGGTAGCAGAGGTGTTCGGGCGGAAACCTGGCTCGTGCAAATATTCACCAGATGAATCTGCTAATTCGTTTGTAGGCAAACCTACAAAGTATGCAGAAAGAATGAAAGAGTTTACGAGAGTTGACAATATTTGAATATCTGACAGAGAATGAGTTGATAATTTCATGTTTATTAGCTCGATATTACCAAAACATCAACGACAAAAAAAAAATAAATAAATAAAAGTGAATTAACAAATGTTTACAATATCTCATTATCTGACTTCTTTTCGTCCATGGAAAAATAAAATCAACTTTCAAAAATTTGAATTAGTCAATAAAATATTATTTTAGAGACCAAAAAATTCGATCTGCAGTTTCTTTTTGTTTCTATTTGAGAGATAAATACATGACTTGGTTAGAACACGTTTGTGAATGAAAATTACACTAATGGAAGCAAGTTTTATAAGAAATTAGCCCTGATATGAAAGTTACTGCTGATGCATGATCTAATCACTGATTACCTTTTTGGTCATTGTGATGATAAACATTTACAAATAAATACAAATCAGTGTCCAAAAACAGTTTTATCGTAACCAATCCTTTTCTGACTATTTCTTAACTAAATCCCTCTCCATCCACGAAAATTACACTATCATCACCGGAACTCCGACGTGTATCGCAATAAACCAGCCTTATGTTCTCTTCCCTCCTATCTAACAACTCCTTCTCTCTTTCTTTACTTCACGCTCAATTTCATTCATTTTTGTCCTAGTGCTCACTATCATTCTGTCTTTACTCTCTCTTCTCTTGTCACACTGTATCTTTCTCTCTTCCTTTCACCTTGCAGTTTTCCCTTCTGCTGACACCATATGATTGTGACCACGTTGTTACCCCTGGTCAGCTCGAGACCTGTCTTTCTATATGTTATCATTTTGACCTTCCTTGATGGGTTGATCTTAATACTCCCCCTTCTCATGTAGGTATTGGAGACTAGGCCTAAACTTTATACTCGTAATTTCGTTCACAGAAATAGCGTTTTCCAACACGTAACCGATATGAATTTACCTGTACCACATGATATAGACTTGTTAATATATGGTAATGTATGGTAATGTATGATGATGATGTATGGTGATTGCAACTAATTCTGAAAAAAAGTAATGCATTTCGTCAAAATCCGTCCATTGACTGCTTTAGCTCTCCTAGACTCCGTCTATTGACTGTTACAACTCTCCTAGACTCCGTCCATTGACTGCTTTGGCTCTCCTAGACTCCGTCTATTGACTGTTACAACTCTCCTAGACTCCGTCCATTGAATGCTTAGTTCTAGACTCCGCCTAGAGACTTAATAACATACCGTTAATTAGATTTATCATTTAATCTCTGCAATACTGTTTCCGCTTTTCGCTTCTCTTTTTCCGGGATTCGTTGCGACCACTCCAGGACATCCGTTGTTAACATGTGTAGCTCCTTGGGTGTTTCCCAAACAGCCAAAGTTAAAGGACGATTTTTTTATGCTCCTTTAAACTCTTAAACGTTGATGTACTGTCGCCCATCCTTTCTAAATTCATGTTATAAACTATTTCCTGGTTATCAGTTGCTACTATCGATGATGTCTTGATTTATATTGAGAAATGTGGTGTGTTGTGGTTAGTGAGGTGGTGGTGGTGGTGTGTGGGTGTGTTGTGGTTAGTGAGGTGGTGGTGGTGTGTGGGTGTGTTGTGGTTAGTGAGGTGGTGGTGGTGTGTGGGTGTGTTGTGGTTAGTGAGGTGGTGGTGGTGATGTGTGGGTGTGTTGTGGTTAGTGAGGTGGTGGTGGTGGTGTGTGGGTGTGTTGTGGTTAGTGAGGTGGTGGTGGTGTGTGGGTGTGTTGTGGTTAGTGAGGTGGTGGTGGTGTGTGGGTGTGTTGTGGTTAGTGAGGTGGTGGTGGTGGTGTGTGGGTGTGTTGTGGTTAGTGAGGTGGTGGTGGTGTGTGGGTGTGTTGTGGTTAGTGAGGTGGTGGTGGTGGTGTGTGGGTGTGTTGTGGTTAGTGAGGTGGTGGTGGTGGTGTGTGGGTGTGTTGTGGTTAGTGAGGTGGTGGTGGTGTGTGGGTGTGTTGTGGTTAGTGAGGTGGTGGTGGTGTGTGGGTGTGTTGTGGTTAGTGAGGTGGTGGTGGTGTGTGGGTGTGTTGTGGTTAGTGAGGTGGTGGTGGTATGTGGGTGTGTTGTGGTTAGTGAGGTGGTGGTGGTGGTGTGTGGGTGTGTTGTGGTTAGTGAGGTGGTGGTGGTGTGTGGGTGTGTTGTGGTTAGTGAGGTGGTGGTGGTGGTGTGTGGGTGTGTTGTGGTTAGTGAGGTGGTGGTGGTGTGTGGGTGTGTTGTGGTTAGTGAGGTGGTGGTGGTGGTGTGTGGGTGTGTTGTGGTTAGTGAGGTGGTGGTGGTGGTGTGTGGGTGTGTTGTGGTTAGTGAGGTGGTGGTGGTGTGTGGGTGTGTTGTGGTTAGTGAGGTGGTGGTGGTGTGTGGGTGTAGTGTGGTTAGTGAGGTGGTGGTGGTGTGTGGGTGTGTTGTGGTTAGTGAGGTGGTGGTGGTGTGTGGGTGTGGTGTGGTTAGTGAGGTGGTGGTGGTGGTGTGTGGGTGTGTTGTGGTTAGTGAGGTGGTGGTGGTGTGTGGGTGTGTTGTGGTTAGTGAGGTGGTGGTGTGTGGGTGTGTTGTGGTTAGTGAGGTGGTGGTGGTGGTGTGTGGGTGTGTTGTGGTTAGTGAGGTGGTGGTGGTGTGTTGTGGTTAGTGAGGTGGTGGTGGTGTGTGGTTGTGTTGTGTTTAGTGAGGTGGTGGTGGTGTGTGGGTGTGTTGTGGTTAGTGAGGTGGTGGAGGTGGTGGTGTGGTGGTGTGTGGGTGTGTGTGGTTAGTGAGGTGGTGGTGGTGGTGTGTGGTGTGTGAGGTGGTTAGTGAGGTGGTGGTGGTGGTGTGTGGGTGTGTTGTGGTTAGTGAGGTGGTGGTGGTGTGTGGGTGTGTTGTGGTTAGTGAGGTGGTGGTGGTGTGTGGGTGTGTTGTGGTTAGTGAGGTGGTGGTGTGTGTGGGTGTGTTGTGGTTAGTGAGGTGGTGGTGGTGTGTGGGTGTGTTGTGGTTAGTGAGATCGTGCTCGAAAAAGTCTGAAATCAGTGTTGTGGTTAGTGAGGTGGTTGTGTGTTGTGTGTTGTGGTTAGTGAGGTGGTGGTTGTGTGTGGGTGTGTTGTGGTTAGTGAGGTGGTGGTGGTGGTGGTGGTGTGTGGGTGTGTTGTGGTTAGTGAGGTGGTGGTGGTGGTGTGTGGGTGTGTTGTGGTTAGTGAGGTGGTGGTGGTGGTGGTGGTGGTGTGTGGGTGTGTTGTGGTTAGTGAGGTGGTGGTGGTGGTGTGTGGGTGTGTTGTGGTTAGTGAGGTGGTGGTGGTGGTGTGTGGGTGTGTTGTGGTTAGTGAGGTGGTGGTGGTGGTGTGTGGGTGTGTTGTGGTTAGTGAGGTGGTGGTGGTGGTGTGTGGGTGTGTTGTGGTTAGTGAGGTGGTGGTGGTGGTGTGTGGGTGTGTTGTGGTTAGTGAGGGTGGTGGTGGTGTGTGGTGTGTTGTGGTTAGTGAGGTGTGTGGTGTGGTGGTTAGTGAGGTGGTGGTGGTGTGTGGGTGTGTTGTGGTTAGTGAGGTGGTGGTGTGTGGTGGTGTGTGGGTGTGTTGTGTGTGGGTGTGTGAGGTGAGGTGGTGGTGTGTGTGGTGTGTGGTGTGGTTAGTGAGGTGGTGGTGGTGGTGGTGTGTGGGTGTGTTGTGGTTAGTGAGGTGGTGGTGGTGTGTGGGTGTGTTGTGGTTAGTGAGGTGGTGGTGGTGGTGTGTGGGTGTGTTGTGGTTAGTGAGGTGGTGGTGGTGGTGTGTGGGTGTGTTGTGGTTAGTGAGGTGGTGGTGGTGGTGTGTGTGTGTTTGTGTGCGTTTCATTATTGTTTTTAATTTGACGGTGTCTGAGTTGATATGTTGGGGCCCATGTACTTGGTAAACGAGTTAAATGGCATTGAGATGCACTTATATGTAGAGCTTTTTATTTAATAACGCCTAGGGGCATTTTGAGAACGGAGAGAAGCATTGGGTTGATTTATGTGTAACAATAATGGCCGACCACGGCATGTGCTTCGAGCTCGGACACCACCCGGTATTTCAAGGTTTAGTGTAAAGCGTCTGTTTCATGTTAAAATTGTACATCCTGATGGAGCTAAAGTTCGTTACGCTCACTGAACCACGCTGATAAATGCGTTGGTACAAATTTACAAAAGTTACACATGTCATAAATTGTTGTCTCCATTATCCGATAAGTACGGAAGCGTATTGCGGCCACGTTGTGTTTTATTTTATCTCGAAATTTCGAGTTAAATCAAACACAACGTGGCCGGAATACGCTTCCGTAGATAAGACTTCTCAACAGTAACTTCTCGATGAATTGAACGACAAGCGAAAGCGGCAGTCACAGGGCAAACAATTAAGTAACATTTGGACTTGCGTGTCGTCACTACTGTGCACGTGTTGTGTTACAATTGGAACCTCCGACGGGAAATGAAAATTTCCTGTTTGTTACACTAGTGTTGCCTTGCAACACAGTCGTTTTAGTTGAATGACTCAGTGTAGTCATCGAACGGGATAATAGCGTCACACTAGAATGATCACGTATACTACTTGTATGTTATAGAACGGCAAGCTGTATTTCTATTGAAAGAGAGATTGACTTCTGGTGCATGAACTGAATTAACATAAGTTATTCCAGTTCCTGTTTGGTGGCTATGTACTAGTTAATGTTTTATACACAGTAAGGAATACATCGCCAGGCATGTATTAATAGGTTGTTGCATATAGACCGAATACTCTCTTACCGCTCTGAGTGTTCCATATAGTTGAACACCTGTTACATACACCAAAAGAAACGTTGAATTATAACAGCACCCGCCGTCGTCGTCAGTTGGAGCAACATTGACTTGAACCAAAATGTCTTCTAAAGGTATGATCTGAAGATAAACATATTTCTGTCATTTCTCGATAGGTCATCACGATAATGATGAAATGGTACTTACGTTTGCAGGATATTTCTTTTTCACACAAACACATCTACATGTAGAAAATGAGCTGCGTGTACCGTAATTATGTTGACCTCTAATTCTGTACACTACACTACACTTGTG